TCACACTCCCTCACTCTCTCTCTCACTCACTCACTCACTCACACACTCACTCACTCACTCACACACTCACACACTCTCACACACACACACTCGCTCACTCTCACAGACGTGCAGCTACACGCTGAGGTCAGTCATTATCTCAGCAGCTGCTATGAGAGGAACGCAGCACAGACTCGCGTCACACACGTCAGCTGCAGGCCGCTCCGTGAACAAACACTCATGTTTCGGTCTGATGCTCAGCGCAGGCTTGAGCCACATGATGTTCATCGTCTGGTGAAGACTGAAGAGCAGCGGTGGGAACAGCTCAGACCCATCAGCTCCCAACTCCTGCTCCAGCGCTGAACATACGATTACTGAGACAGTACTGTATTCATACACACAGAGCCTGAACAACCAACCAACGACTGCAAACCTTTCACAAAGACTCCGACACAGAGAGGCAAAGCAGCGCTCATGTGCTCGCAGACACAGACGGACGAGTGTGAGAACTGTAGAGAGTGAAGCGCAAACTCAGGATTCACAACTGTATCTAAATGCATAGGAGAAAAATCTGCATTTCTAATGCAAGACTGATCTAACAATGAATGCTCGTGCTGTGGTGAATGTGTTCAGTGTCCGGTGTCAGGAGCCTCACCTGATAGCAGCACTTGATCTGCTGCACGAGGAGCGACAGGTTCTGGATGCGCAGCGCCGGGTCGTTCTTCACCTTCCTCTGCACTCTCTGCACGCTGCTCTTTGGGTTTCTGTCACAACAACACACAGATTTTTAGCAATGAAGTTCTGTTTTTCATCAGATGTCAAGGAATATTTTTCCTGTAATGTCTCTCTCCAGGCTTGTGCCTGAGCATCAGACTTTCACCTGTGATCTTACGGTCTACAGCAGTGGGCTACAGTGAAGTCCGGAGGGAACATCTGCACAATATTTGCTTTTAATGACCCTACAGGTTTAATTAAACCATCAAAATATGAGGAACTAAATATAGGAACATGTTATCACAGATGAAATGATTAACACAGAGCACATACACGCTCCAAACACAAGCACGCAATACGCTGAGAGACCCACATCAACATTACACCAGTGTGCTTGAACAAAGGGCCACCATATCCGTTATCTGTAGATTTAGATCCCTCAATAAAACGCTCCGCCGTTAACTCGCGTCACTGCGGCGCCGACACACGAACACATCTAGATCTGAATCCAGAGCATCACTCCTAACACAGGGGTCCTCAGCGCTGGCCCTCGAGGGCCGCTGTCCCGCAGGGGTCAGCTCAGCACTGGCCTGGATGCAACATATATTTGTAATTAATTAATAAATTATGATCTTGTTTGCACATCTATATGGAAAATATTCAAGTGATCGCAGAGACGCCGAAGTTTCTAATGTTTGTAAACATTTCGCTTTATTTACCCGTATTTCTGAATCTAATAAATAAAATGTGACTTATACATGACTTATCTGTTTTCTGTTTCTCTCAAAAACGTTATAGCGTAGCGTATTTTTAACCATGCAGCAAACGACTTTTAGTATCAAAATATCAAAAATACTTAAATGGCTTTTGAAACACTTTATCTTTGTATTAAACGGTCAAAACTCTTCCTGTCGGGTAACAGTTAACCGGTTATATGAGCATCCCAAACTGAAAACAGACTGGTTAAAAGCTCGGTAAGCATATTATTTTTAAAATGTGAGAAACAACGGCCTATTCAGAATTTATACACTGTAA